AAGTTGCGGGTGGGTGGGTGGGATGTTTTCAAGGGCATGGAATGTGTCAATTCGTTTGTAAAAATCAATTTCACCATTTTTTTTTTGGTTTTTTTTTTTTTTTTTTTTTTTTTTTTTTTTTTTTTTTTTTTTTTTTTTTAAAAAAAAAAAAAAAAAAAAAAAAAAAAAAAAAAAAAACACGCTTGTGGCGCACTCCGCATTACAATGGGCACCCCAGCTTTAAGCTATCCCTTCCCTTTCCTTGGAAAAGGGGGGTCCCTCCGAAGCTACCCATTCCATCCTTCCCTTTTGTCTGCTTTTTGTAGTGGGGGGTGTCGTATTTAACGGTGGGGCAGGCTTGGGAGCACCCTTCCTTTTTTCGAGAGCCAGACGTTCGCCCGTGCCTCCCGTTCAATGGGGTGGGGGGGTTCGGAAACTACCCACCATTCTTTTTTCGCAGCTTAGATTGTTTTGCCAAGGGGGTGGGGGAGCTTCAAATTCTACCTTCCTTTTTCCGGAGCCCAAGGCCAGCGCGGGCTTGCCTTTCAAAGGGGCGGGGAGTTCGGAAGCACCCCCCTTTCATTTCGCATATGAGATTGCCTTGCCAGAGGGGGGGGCTTCAAAACTACCCCCCCCTCCTTCCTTTTCCGAAGCCCGAGGTTCGCCAGGGCTTCCCTTTATAAAAAGGGGGGGTCAGAAGGTACCCCCCCTTTCGCAGATGAGATCGGCGATCCGTTGGTTCTGGGTGCCTCTTTGGCTTTCTGCGCGTTTGTGTTTTTTGGCGCTGTTTTGGTTTTCCGCGCCGCCATGGTTTTCGACGATCGCTTGGTATTCGGCGTATCTTTGGGTTTTCGGCGCTTCGTCGTCGGTTTCTGGCGCTCATTTTGGTGTTCGTCGGCTCGTTGATTTTTGGCGTTCGGTTGGTTTTCGGCGCCGGTTGGGTTTCGTTTCTCCTTTGCTTTTGGCGTTCGTTTGGTGTTTGGCCTTTCGGTTGGTTTTCAGCGCCCTTTTGGTTGTCTTCGCCCTCCTGGAAATGGGAGGTTCTTTGGGTTTCGGCGTCCCTTTGTTTTTCGGTTTCTTTTGATTTTCGGGACTCTTTTGGTTTTCGGCGCTCTGTTCGCATTCGGCGTCTTTGGCGCTTCCTTGGTGTTCGGGTGCTTTTTTGCTGTTTGTTGTGCGCTTTTCTGGATCTCGGCGCGTCTTTGGTTTTCGTCGCCCCTTGATTGTCGGCGGTTTGTTCGGTTTTCGGAGCCTTCCTTCAGCCGCAGGTGGGGGAGGGCTTTCTAAGTTATTTTTTTCTTTAGCTGACCAGGGAGTGAGGCGGGGGGGGGGGGCTTTTAGCAGGGATCGTCTGAGGGAAAGGGGCGTCCATGTGGTTTGCGGGGCCGCTCCGGTATTCGGCGCATCTTTGGTCGTCGTCGTTTGGATTTTCGGTAACTTGTGGATTCTTTGGGTAGTTTTCAGGGTTCAATTTTGGTTTTCGGTGTTTTTGTGGTTTGGGGCGCCTTTTTTGTTTCCGGCGGATAGGTTTTTGGCGCCCTATTGGCTTTCGGCGCTCATTTGGTTTTCGGCGCTCTTTTAGTTTTCGGCTCATTTGCAGTTTTCCGCGCCGTCTTGGTTTGTTCCGATTTCTTTGGTTTTCGGCAATTTGTGTTTGCGGCGCTTCTTTGGTTTTCGACGCCATGTTGGTTTTCGGCGCATAGTTTGTTTCCGGCGTCCTTTTGGCTTGCGGCGCCGCTGTGGTTGTCGGCGCTCTTTAACTTTTCGGCGCGTTGTTGGTTCCCCTTGGTTTTCGGTGCTCTTTCGGGTTTCGGCGCATTTTTGGTCTTCGGCGTTCCTTTGGCTTTCGGTCTTTTGGGGTCTCGACGCCATTTGGGTTCTCGGTGTGCTTTTGGTTTGCGGCGCTCCTTTGTTTTTTGCCGCTCGTTTGGTTTCCGGCGCGCCATTGTTTTTCTGCGCATCCTTCGAGTGTTGCGACTTGTTTGTTGGCGGCGCCCTTTTGGTTTCTGGCGCGCCTTTGGTCTTCGGCGATGTCTTGGTTTTCGGCGCTCTTCTGGTTTCCAGCGCTCGTTTCGTTTTGATGGTTTTTGAATGGCGCTTCTTTTGTTTCTCGTTCCTTTGGGTTCCCGCGCCCTTTCGTATTTCCGCGCGTTTTCCCAAGCATCTTGTGGTGTTGGGTCCTCGTTTTGAAGGGACAGCGCCCCGCGTCACTCCGCTCCTCCTCCTCCCCCTCCTCCCTCCTCTCCTTCCTCCCTCCTCCCTCCTCCGCAGTTCGCATGAGCCTCCCCCACCCAGTACGGCGTTTCGTGGCCCCAGGAGGGAGCTCCAACGACGGTCCCACTGGCGCAGTCCGCATGCGGTTCCCCCACCCAGTACACCGCTTCGTGGCCCCATAGGGAGCTCCACTGCAGGTTCCAGTGGCGCAGTCCGCATGCGGTTCCCCCACCAAACCGCTTCGTGGCCCCAGATGGAGCTCCACCGAAGGTTCCAGTGGCGCAGTCCGCATGCGGGTCCCCCACTCAGTGCAGTGTTTCGTGGCCCCAGATGGAGCTCCACCGGAGGTCCCAGTGGCGCAGTCCGCATGCGGTTCCCCCGCCCATTACAGCGTTTCGTGGCCACAGGGTGAGCTCCACCGAAAGTTCTAGTGGCGCAGTCCGCATGTGTTTACCCCACCCAGTGCAGCGCTTCGTGGCCCCATAGGGAGCTCCACCGAAGGTCCAAGTGGCGCAATCCGCATGCGGGTCCCCCACCCAGCACAGCGTTTCGTGGCCCCAGAGGGAGCTCCACTGCAGGTTCCAGTGGCGCAGTCCGCATGCGGTTTCCCCACCAAACCGCTTCGTGGCCCCAGATGGAGCTCCACCGAGGGTCCCAGTGGCGCAGTTCGCATACGGTTCCCCCGCCCATTACAGCGTTTCGTGGCCGCAGAGGGAGCCCCACCGAAGGTCACAGTGGCGCAGTCCACATGCGGTTCCCCCACCCAGTACACCGCTTCGTGGCCCCATAGGGAGCTTCACCAAAGGTTCCAGTGGCGCAGTCCGCATGCGGTTCCCCCACCCAGCACAGCGTTTCGTGGCCCCAGAGGGAGCTCCACCGAAGGTCCCAGTGGCGCAATCCGCATGCGGTTCCCCCGCCCAGTGCAGCGTTTCGTGGCCCCATGAGGAGCTCCACCGAAGGTCCCAGTGGCGCAATTCGCATGCGGCTCCCTCGCCAAGTGCAGCGTTTCGTGGCCCCAGAGGGAGCTCCACCGAAGGTCACCGTGGCGCAGTTCGTATGCGGTTCCCCCACCCAGTCCAGCGTTTCGTGGCCCCAGGGTGAGCTTCACCGAAGGTCCCAGTGGCGCAGTTCGCATACGGTTCCCCTACCCAGTACAGCGCTTCGTGGCCACAGAGGGAGCTCCACCGAAGGTCCCAGTGGCGGAAATCGCATGCGGTTCCCCCACCCATTACAGCTTTTCTTGGCCCCAGGGAGCTCAATCAAAGGTCCTGGTGCCGGAACTCGCATGCCGTTTCACCTCCCAGTACAGCGTTTCGTGGCCCCAGAGGGAGCTCCACGGAAGACGATACCCACAATTGCGGTCACAATTGCACATGATTGGGTTCTTCGCCAGGCTAATTTTCCCAACCATCATGTGGTGTTGGGTCCTCGTTTTGAAGAGAGAGCGCCCCGCGTTCTCCCGCCTCCTCCCTCCTCCCATCCCTCCTCCCATCACCATCATCAACACCCATTTTGGCACACCCTTCACACGTTTCGTGAACTCCACCTTAGGCTCCAGTGGCGTCGTTCCCATGCGTCCCCGCCGCTTATTTTGGCACACTCCAGTGGCGACGCTCCCGTGCGTCCCCGCCACCCATTGTGGCACAGCCCTGACACGGTTCGTGGCCCCATAGGGAGCTCCACTTCAGGCTTCAGTGGCGACGTTCCCATGCGTCCCCGCCACCCATTGTGGCACACCCCTCACACGGTGCGTGGCCCCATGGGGAGCTCCACGTACGGCTTCAGTGGCGAGATTCCGAATGCGTCCCCGCCATTCATCTTGGCACACCCCTCGCACGGTTCGTGGCCCCATAGGGAACTCCACCTAAGGCCCTAGTGGCGGCGCTCTCATGCGTCCCCGCCACAAATTTCGGCACACCACGCGTTTCGTGATTTCATAGGGATCTCCACCTCAGGCTCCAGTGGCGACGTTGCCATGCGTCCCCGCCTCCAATCTTGGCACACCCCTCACACGCACCGTTGCCCCATAGGGACTCTGTCCGAAGGCCTCGGTGGCGACGTTCCCATGCGTCCCCGCCACTCATTTTGGCACACCCCTCACACGGTGCGTGGCCCCATAGGGAGCTCCACATGAGGCCTCAGTGGCAACGTTCCCATGCGTCCCCTCCACCCATTCTGGCACACCCCTCACACGGTTCGTGGCCCCATAGGGAGCTCCACCTAAGGCTCCAGTGGCGTCGTTCCCATGCGTCCCCGCCATTCATTTTGGCACACACCCCACACGGTTCGTGGCCCGATAGGGTGCTCCTCCTCATGCCCCAGTGGCGACGCTCCCATGCGTCCCCGCCACCCATTTCGGCACACCGCTCACACGGTTCGTGGCCCCATAGGGAGCTCCACTTAATGCCCCAGTGGCGACGTTCCCATGCGTCCCCGCCACCTGTTGGCACGCCCTTGACACGGTTCGTGGCCCCATAGGGAGCTCCACCTCAGGTCCCAGTGGCGACGTTCCCATGCGTCCCCGCCACGTATTTTGGCACAACCCTCACACTGTTCGTGGCCCCGTAGGAGGTCCTCCTCGCTTCTCCTCGCTCCTTATCGCTCCTACTTGTCATCCTCCTTCTCCTCGTCCTACTCCTCGTCCTCCTCCTCGTCCTCCTCCTCCTCCTCCTTCTCCTCCCTCCTCCTCCTCCTCCTCCTCCTCCTCCTCCTTATGAAGAGGCCATCTCTTTCTCCCTTCCTCCCCTCGCCCGCAGCCGAGCATGTGTGTGTGTGTGCATGTGTCGGGGGGCCAAGCGCCGCACAAGGCGAGATGGAGCAAGCCGTCATCCTTGCCAGGCGCCGCCCAGTTCCGCAGGAGAGCAGGAGGGAGAGGAGGAAGTTCGCAGCGCATCAGCAGCTGGGCATTCTTCAGGCGATCACAAACATGGATCAAGGGGGCGTGGATTAGCGACGGGTCCGCTCACATGGGAAATCGCGGAGTTTCCATGTTTGCGCGCACCCGATTTCTTAGCAGTAGTGTCATCACCTTTACCAGTATACATATAGATTCTGAAGAGTGTGACCTCCGGAGGTACAACGCCGTAACAAGTAGTACGCATTACTCGCTCCATTGGCGGGACTTGCTCCACCCCCAGCTGTTGTGGTCACATGCCGGAGGCCGTGGAGGACACCATACCAACTCCCGCCGACAGCCAGGGTGGGGACCGAAGAATGGAGGAGGGAGTGGTAACCCCTAGAAATGGCATCCGACCTTGCGGTTGCAACAACCTCAGCACAGGTGAGCAATTCCTCAAACAAGTAGACGTAGTAAGTCGTGGAACTGATGAGCTTCCGAGCATGTGACCAGGTAGTGGAGGTAGTGTTATTCGCTGTAGTTGTGCACCAAGAAAGACTCCGTTGACGAGGCCGATGACGACGAGACCGACGACGGGAAGTGCCAGGAAGATGACCTACTTCTCATCCTCCTCTTCCTCGTCTAGAATTTGCTCCTTCAGTAGGCCTTCCTTGATGAGGAACATGGGGTCCAGAGACCGACCACCGCTCGACAGCAGCATTCCATATGTCGTCGTCGGTGTGCTAGGGAGGGAGATCCCGGCCCCCCAAATGGTCTGCGCGCCATCGATCCCAATCCTCCGTGTCAGCGTCAGCGACAGGATCATCATCACCATTTTCTTTTCCCTCTTCGCCGTCCTCCTCTTTCTTCTCGTCTTCGTAATCGCCATCATCAGCATCAGCATCAGCATCAACATCAGCATCAGCATCAGCATCAGCATCAGCATCAGCATCTGCATCATCGTCATCGTCATCATCATCATCATCATCATCATCATCATCATCATCATCATCATCATCATCATCATCATCATCATCATGATCATCATCATCATCATCATCATCATCATCATCATCATCATCATCATCATCATTATCATTATCATTATCATCATCATCATCATCATTATCATCATCATCGGCCAGGCGTGGGTACGTTGGTCGGGGGACGTGCTCGTCCACGACCTGCAGCGGGCGGTGCACTTTTGGCGGAGCCGCTGCGAGAAGTTGGTGGAATCGCTGGGGGACCCCGACACGGCGGAGCGCCTGGCGGTGGTGGCGGTGCACCTGAAGAACATGGTGCACGGCAAGGCCATCGAGTCGCCCGTCGACACGGTGCGGAGGAACGTGGCGCTCCACGCGGCGTTGGCGCCCTGGCCGCTGGGGACGGCGACGGCGTGCTCGCTACGCCGAGCCCAGAAAGGGCCCAGGCTTGTGGCGCGCCCCGCGCTGTCGGCGGCTGGCCTCGCCGCAGACGGGGTGAACATCCTTAGCTCGGGCAGACCTGTTGAGGGCGGCGCCCCGCCCGCGCGGAAATTGGCCGAGTGCCCGCCCGACTCGGCCATGCCGCGCGCGGGCGCCAGGGCCGTCGGGGCCGATGCGGTGCGCGACGGCGAGATCGGGGCGGAACTGGACTGCCACGACCCCCTGCTAGCGGTGCCGCCTTTCTCCTTGTTCGTTAAGGAGCTCAGCGACCATGGCATCATCGCGACGCGCGATCTCGCGGTGAAGCAGGGCGCGGCTGGCATGCAGTGGCAGTTGCGAGAAGGAGCTGGCGGTGAAGCGGGGCCCGCGCGGGATCAGCTACAGCTCCGCAATCAGCGCGGCACCAGCGTGGCGACGTGGAGCGCCCGTGCTGGGATCGCCACGGAGTGGCTGAGGGCAGCCCCCGTGGCAGGCGGCCCCAGGAGGCGCTCGTGGGCGCGATCGAGCACGAGAAGGAGCGCGGCGCGGATGCCATGCACGAATAGGAGCTCACGGCGGCCACGGCGGCGACTGGAGGCAGACGACGACTCTGCCACGCCACCTCCACTGCCAACTTGCGCGGTGGACTTCTTGGAGCGCCTGGAGGGCGCCACGAAGGGCATCGAGACCACCGTGAAGTGTGACGGCACCCGCGCGGCCGAGCGCTGCGTGATCATGTGCCGGATCTCACAACTGAAGGCCATCCACGGGGAAACCCAGCGGGCGTTGGACGGCTCCGACGACGGGGGCGACCATGAGGCCGAGCTGGAGCGCTTCGAGGTTCAGAAAGCGCTCGAGTCTGCTCGGCTGCACAGCGACACCGTGGGAGCGATCGAGCACGAGAAGGAGCGCGGCGCGGATGCCATGCGCGAATAGGAGCTCACGGCGGCCACGGCGGCGATTGGAGGCAGACGACGACTCTGCCACGCCACCTCCACTGCCAACTTGCGCGGTGGACTTCTTGGAGCGCCTGGAGGACGCCACGAAGGGCGTCGAGACCACCGTGAAGTGTGACGGCACCCGCGCGGCCGAGCGCTGCGTGATCATGTGCCGGATCTCGCAACTGAAGGCCATCCACGGGGGAACCCAGCGGGTGGTGGACGGCTCCGACGACGGGGGCGACGATGAGGCCGAGCTGGAGCGCTTCGAGGTTCAGAAAGCGCTCGAGTCTGCTCGGCTGCACAGCGACACGCCGGAGAGCGAGTCTAGGCCGCCGTGGGGCTGACGCTTCGCTGCCATTTCATTTTGCAGTTCGGGGTGTGTCTGCGTGGAAACCCTGCGGAGGGGGCCCGAGGACCCCTGGTAGTGGTGCGCAGTTGAGCATCGAGTGGCTTTGTCCTCGCCTGCGCAGCGGACGCGCGCGCCCGTGGGAGGGGCCGGCCCTGGGCGCAGGGAGGCGCGCGCTGGCGTCTACAGGAGCGGAGGGCGAGCGCGACGCTGCGCTGCCACTCTTTGGGAGAGCGCGATCGTCATCGCCATCGCCATCACCATTAACATCATCATCGTCATCGTCAGCACTACCCTCTTCATCATCATCAGCATTGTACTCGTCATCATCGGCATCATCATCATCACCAGCATTACCATCATCACCGCCATCGCCAGCAGACTTGCCATCCATCTCATCGACAACACCGTCATCATCATCATCGCCATCGTCGTCGTCGTCATCGCCATGGTTGTCGTCGTTGTCCTCATCATTCATGACCAGGATCATCATCACGATCAGCACTATCATCCTTGCTGTACACGATGATGTTTATGCCCGTCTTGCCCCTCGTACTGTACTCGATACTGCGCGCGATGCTGTGCCCGATGCTGTTCGCGGTGTGCCCGCTCGTGTTCGCGATGTACAAATTCTCGCGGTACCTGATGCCGTGCCCGATGCTGTGCCAGTTCGTGCCGTTCGCGATGCTGCGCCAGTTCGGGCTGCGAAAGATGGTGCTTACGGCGTGCGCCTCGTGCCGTTCATGATGCCACGCGCCAGGCTGTGCGCGACGTTGTCCGCGATGTACCACTTCGTGCTGCACGCGATGCTGTTCGCGATGTGCCACGTCGCGCTGGTCACGATGCCGCGCGCCATGCTGTAACTGAACGTGTCGTTCGTTTTGTTGTACCAGGTCGCGGTGTACATGACGCTGTGCGCAACGTTGATGTACCCGCTTGCTGCGCAGGATGACGCGCGCTATGACGCACCCGATGTTGTACGCAACTCCACCTGCAATGTGCCAGCTCGCGCAGTGGGAGATGATGTACGCGATGCTGATGGACGTGCTCGTGCTGCACCTGATGCTGGACACGCTGCTGCGCTCGGTTCCGTATCCGGTGCTGCGCAAGGTCGCGTTGTTCGCGAAGCTGTACAAGTTCGTGTTGTCCACGATGCGGTGCCCGATGCTGTGCACGGCGCTGTTCGCGATGTATCACGTCGTGCTGCTCGTGATGCCGCGCGCCATGCTGTGCGCGTTCGTGTTGTCTGCTTTGCTATGCCAGTTTGCGTTGTGCATGATGTTGTGCACGGCATGTTTTGCGCGCGCGTGAATGGTGGACTTCCCCAGCGAGTTGGCGCGCGTCCGTGGGTCCGCAAACGTCGTTGCTCAAGCTCGTCTTGCAATGGCTTCGAGCGCCCCGCCCCGCCTGCAGTGCATGGGGCGCGCGCTGCAGCTGGGGCGCGCGGCGCTGGGGCCCCTGCAGGCGTCGTCGACTCGGCGGGAAAAGCCGAGATGGCACGCCCTTGCGCTGAGATGCATGGCTTGTTCGAGGGGGACTTCGCGGCCGTGGAGTTCAACTGTCAGCCTCGATGATCTACCCGCCGGACAGAGCGACTGAGCAGGTGGGGGTGATGACCCCCGACAGTGACTGCCACCTAGAGTCCTGGGCGCTCCCCGACGCGGCGTGTTGGGAGCGGCTACTGGGGGGAGCTCAAGGCGGGGCTCTGGCGGTGGCCGGGCGTCTGTGCCACCGATTTCGGGATGCGCCGTTGCCGGTCGTGCTGGGGGCCCATCGAGACGAGCTCGCTCGACGGCGCTGCTTGCCCGGGCCGCGGCTTCCCCCGGCGCCGGAAATTGGCCTGGCGCTGGCGGGCCCGAGGGCGCCGCCGCCCCCGCCGCCCGTCTCGAGGGCCAGCCGACGCCTCGGGGGCTGACCGCGGGGCGGCCGGCGACGCCGGCGGCGCAGGCGGGGAGTCAGCGGGCCAGGCCCAGGGCGCGTGGGTGGCTGCAGAGAGCCGCCACGGCATCGCCCGCCTCGCTCGCCGGGACGCACCTCCAGCTGGGATCATCGCGGGCGGCCGCGCGCTGGCGAGCCACTCCGGAGCCGCATTGGTGGGTTTCGGAGGAGGAGCTGCGGGGTGACCGCGGGCGCGCTGAGACCGCCATCTCGAGCGACACCAGGCCGCGCGCGGGAGACGCGGGCGATCTTCGTGCGCTCTCAGTGGTCTGGGACGCCGCGCCTGGGCGAGCGCGGTCGAGAACCTCAATGAGAGCTGACCGGCCCCTCTTGGGGCCGCGGGCGGCGGCGCGGCCGCGCGCATCCGCCTCCGCGGTGGGGGCCCGACGGCGTTCTTCTGCCGAGTTGTGCGAGACGTGAAGATAGCGGAGAACGATCGCAGCGCTCGCGAACTGGAGGCGCTGCTCATTGTGATGGAGCTGGCGGGCGCCGTCGACCAGCTCAACCACGGGAACCTTGCATGCGTCGAGCTGGCGGGAAGAGGGATCCATCTCATCATGGGCGCCAGCTCGGGCCTGCGGCGCTGCTGTCTGGGTGGGCTCCGAGCATTCCGTGGGGCTTGGGCCGCTTGGGCGTCGGGCGCGAGGCGCGGCGCCGGCGCTGCGGAGCCATGCGGCCGCCAGGCTGAAGGACGAGGCAGAGGTCGACAAGCAGCGCCACAATGCGCGCAAGGCCAGGAAGCTTCGTGGAGGGAAGCCTGGCGGCGGCAATGAGTAGCTGCAGGAGGGGGCGGAGGAGGCGCCCAGCCTTCGGTCCAAGCTTGGGCGAGAGGCCAGAGGCCTTTTAGTGCTGCACCTCCAGTCGCGGGCTTGGAGATGGAGCAGGACTGGTCGAAGCGTGGTTGTGCTAGTCTGGGCTCATGGCACCCGGGTAAAGTCTTCTCTTTCCCGCTCCCTGGTGTCGAGCCGCCGCCTCGTTTTGATCTCTCCTGGAGCTGGGCGCAGCGGGTTCAGGCCCGTCGGCGACGGCAGAAGAGGTGAGGGAGACGTGCGATGCTCTGATCTGAATGGCTGGCGCGAGGCTACCCGTGGCGTGGGCCCCAACTCGTTCGGTGCATGAGGTGGTGCACAAAGATGTAAATTCTCTTGCGTCGCACTACGCGGATGCCTCTTTTCCCGCGCCATTTGCAGCAGCTCGCTCGGTTCTCTGGCACAAAGCGGGCCGCGGCCCGACTGACAGCGCGGTGCGCCTGTTTGTGAAAGATCTCGCGTCGTTTTTAGCCGATGTGGCCGAGTGCCCTCTGGCAGCTGAGGTGTTGGGTGAACGAGAGCGTTCAATGCTTGAGCGGTTGCCAATTGATTTTCTCCGAGATGAGGAGGAGAGAAGGTCCGAGCCTCAGGCTTAATTGCGTGGACCCACGACTCCGAGAGGGCAGCCGAGCCCATGTAGATGTCGCGTGTGAGAGAGTGACCTGGCGCCGGCCGCGCCGGGCGGAGTGTCCCTTGTTTTTTTGTAGCCCAGAAGGATGACCGTCTGCGGTTCATTGTCGATGCCCGGGCGGCGAATCTAGAATTCAAGAAAGCTCCTGGTGTGGCCCTCGCGACGGTGGAAGCCCCGGGGACTCCCTGTACATATCTAAGGGGGGACGTCTCTAGCTGTTTCTACAGGCTTGGCATAAGCGGCCCTGTATGCGAATTTTTCGGTTTCCCTTCCATCGAAGCTGGGGTGCTGGGTGTGGGTAAACTGGGTGGGGCCTCGGTGGCCCCGGACGGGCACCTGTTCTCATGTCTTCGTGTATTACCAATGGGATTTTCATGGAGCCTGTTCTTCACGCAGAGGGCAGCGCAGAATACTGTCTACAAGGTGCCACGCCTGAACCCCGAAAATGCCCTCGATAACCGCTCTTGTAACACCGAACGCCGTCTTCGACTCAAAGGGCATGAGGCTCGCACGTTATGTGTGTGTCGATAGCGTGGGGGCCTTGGGGCTGGATTCGTCTGAGGTTCAGAGTGCCCGCGAGGCCGCAACCAAGGCCCTTGACTCCGTGGGCCTGGTTACGCACGAGCTTATTGATGCCGTCCATACCGACGAGCCGCTTGGAGTGGTGGAGTGGTTATCGATGGGACACGGGGGGTGATACGTTTAAGTGAGCGGTTGTACAGTCGTCTTCGGAGTGTTCTCCAGTGTGCGCTCAGCAGGAAAAAGTTGAGCGGTGCGCAGTTGGAAATGCTCGTAGGCCACGTCACCTTCGCCTTCTTGGTCCGTCGTCCGCTGTTGTCCGTGTTTGTTGGGGCCACTTATCGTTTCACCAAGTGTTGTTATGAGAATGAAAGAGATAAAAAAGTTGTGGCCAAGTGTTAGTGCCGAAATCGAGGCCGCCTACCGTTTGCTGCCCCCATGCGTTGCTGAGCTCCGTCTGCCGTGGTCCTCGCAGGTTTTTGCCTATGACGCGTGTGCGACGGGGATGGGTGTTGTCCAGACGCGTTGGGAGGAACGTCGGGTACAACGGGTGGGGAGGTTGGCGGAGCGTTTCAGGTTCAGATGTGCGGGTCTCGGGGGACACCGTGAGCGGGCCTTGGATACTGCCTTCCTCGACCCCTTCTCGGATCCTGTCACGGCGATCGGGTCGGTCACCTCTGTTCGTGCTGATTGCTTTGCAGTGCCTGCCCGTGTTGTACATGATGGTGTACACAATGCTGTCCACGAACATGTGGTTCCTGCTTTCCTGGGTCGTGGCCCTCCTGTCCCAGGCGGAGTGGATGTTGGCGCCCGTGCGGACTTGTGCCCTGGCGACTTGTGATATCGTCGGCTTCCCCATGCTGTAATTCATGATTACGTTAATTGAAATTTCTGGGATGGTCGGCGAACACGAAAGATGCCAAGGAGAACATCGCCCTGGCGCGTATCTCGGCCCGCTCGTCTCTTGTCGTTTTGCACATTGTTGCCTGGTCTCGTCGCTCTGTCGCCTCCCCTCTCTTTTCCTGGCCCCCGCGTGTTGTCGTGTCTGCGCTTTGGGGTCGTCTTTGTTTCCCCCACGGCCTCGTCTTCCTCCTCTTCTCCTTCGTTCCCTCATCGTCCTCCCTCGGTCTTGAAACCGGCCAAGTTTACGGTGTGGTTGAACACATCACCATTGTCATCATCAACACACACCATCATCATCCGCGTAATCAGCAGAGTCATCGATATCATCGTAATCGTCATCCTCTACATCATCCTCCTCGTTTCCGTCCTCCGTCGTCTCATGCCAGGGCCGACAGCGCTGAGGACGGCGAAGGGTCTTGGCTTGGGAGGGAAAAGGGCTGTTCGGTAGGCCCGTGCGGATGCAGGTGCGCGCGGGCCGCGCGCGCGTGGGTCGTCGGCCGCGGACACCAGGGCGGCCAGAGGGGTAGCCGAGTCAAAGCTTGCGCAGCTCGTGGCGTGGCCAAGACGGCTGGAGGAGTGCCGCCGAACTAGTGGCCGAAGCCCTCGTAGCAGACGCTCTGGCGCGTGATGCCGTATCGGACAAATTATCGAGGCGCTGCTGCCAAGAGCCCAGAGACTCTTGGAGTCGATCACGATGCCCCACGATAACATCCTTGTCGATGGTGTTGCCGAGGCAGGCTTGAACTCAGCCCAACCATTCTCCATTGTGGCTCTACGTTCGGTTTGGTTTCCATGCAAGCCTGCCCTTGTGGAAGTCGGTTCATGGAGAGGAAGCATGCTGCCAAATACATTCCAGATGTCTAAAGCATGTGCCAAGCATGCTTTAGATATGTAAACACATGTCTGAACCATGTTTAGAACATGTTTAACACATCAGAAACCTACAGCGAAACGAAAAGGTATGCGCACACACCAATGCCGACCCGGCCTAGCCGCCGACGCCCAAAGTGGGCCTCCACATGTTTTACACATTTCAAACACATGTTTAGTTCAATGATCCAAGCATGTTTTGGATATGTAAACACATGTTTGAAATCTGTTTAGAACAGGTTTTGCACATTTCAAACACATTGTTAGTTCATCGATAGCATTGTCAGAGAGTCCGTTGCCATGGCATCCGCAGGCCTATCCTTTTCCAACCTCCTCCCGACCATGGGCGGGAGGCGGCCTCCGACCGCCGGCTCTCGAGCCCTGCCCCTTCCACCCCGGCTCTCGTCCTCGTCCCCTCTCCATCTCGCCCCTCCCCTCCCCTCTCTCCCTCCCTCCTCCCCTCCTCCCCTATCATCCCTCCTCCCCTCCTCCCCATCATCCCTCCTCCCCTCCTCCCCATCATCCCTCCTCCCCTCTTCCTCCCTCTCCACTGCCTCCCTCGTTCTCCTCCTGTTCTCCCCTCCCCATTTGCCCCTATCTCTCGTCCTTCTGTGCTACCTCTCGTCCTCCTCCCCTCTTCACTGAACACCCGTATCCGTCAGTGCGATACAGGCACCCAGCACCCACACCTACTTGCACCAAACGACGACCCAACGACCTCACACGGGTACAGACGGCCCACGACGTCATCGCGTGGTCGATGTTCGAGCACCAGAACACCTAGACCGCACGAACAAGCACCCACGGGCCACCCGAGACCACACGCGGGAAAAGATGACAATCGGAAAGACGAAACAACCAAGGCACCACAGCATCGACTTCAACGATTTTGTATCTTCCGCTCTGCTCCTCTACCTCGACTTCTCGACTCCTATTCCTCTCACCTGCCTACCCGTCTCCTCTACTCTCTAACACTCCCGTCGTGTCCCTGTCGTCTCTCCCTGTCTTCTCACTCGTCTTCTCGTTGCCCTCCGCTTCTCACCCGCCCTCACCGCTGCCATCCCACACTTTCCCCATCCCTCTCACTTCAGCGTCCTCTCTCGTCCCCCTTCCCTTCCGCGCCCGGAGGCACATGCGGGAGACGGCCCTGAAGGTCAAGCGAGACGCCTCGAAAAGCGTGTCGCCAGAGAAGTTCTCCCAGCTGGTCGCGCAGCTCGAAGACATGAAGCCGGGGAGGGGGGGTCCCAGGCATCCAGCTGATCGTTTCTTCTTCTTCTTCCTCCTCCTCCTCCTCCTCCTCCTCCTCTTCCCTCTCCTCCTCCTCCTCCTCCTCCTCCTCCTCCTCCTCCTCCTTCTCCCCCTCCTCCCTGGCATTTTTCTTGCATGTCGGCCTCCATGGCCGCGTTCGGGCCCCAGGACAAGAACATCTTCCAGGACGAACGATCGACCCCAGTGCAGAAGTGGCAAGGAATTCGTTGTCGGAGCTCTCTGTCCATTGGCTCATGCGCGTTTGTCTTTTCAAGGGGAAAGAACACGGATCTCGAAGGGTCATCTGTAGCTGCCCAGATGGCGCCTGAGTTTTTCGCAAAGGAACTGCCCCTACCCATTACTCGGTCTACTCTGGCAGCAGGGCTGGTACCGTGTAAGCTTCGGGATGATCGACACCGGCCACACGCAGATGTTTCAGGTGGTGTTTACGGCTGTCTTGTGCAGCAGCATCTTCTAGTGTGAAGGGCATCTGAGCGTGTTCAATTCTTGCGGCATTATGTAAACTACAGTTTCTGGGAACCAGGCCTAGAAGTTGACACCAACACCAATATCGGCGGTGTGCCTCCACCGAGGGAAGAAGATCCCGATCTCTGTAATGGTGGTAATATTCTGGCTTCCAAGGTAGCCGAAATATTACCACCAGCACCGAAATCTAGGATCATTTTTCCCCTGTGGAGGCAACTCCCTGTGTTGGTGTTGGTGCCCATTTCCAGGCCTCCAAAATGGCCCCTTTAAATCGCATTCCCATTTGGCACCCCGCATGCGTATACGCAGTTGTGCGCCCTGCCCTGTCGGATCAACTTGCATGCTCGATCGTGTGACGCGGTGCTGTGAGGAGTTTTGTGATGCAGCAGTGCCCATGCAATGCCCTGCTCTTGTCTTGGCTAGATACTGCACCAGCAACAAAACATGACATTACCGCAAAATCGTTGCAATAATTCTTTTTTCGTCCTGCAATTGCGCATCATCGGGATTTGGGAGTGACTTAAAAAACAGAAAACGCCGGTGTTGAGGCGGATTTGGAGATCGGGGCAGAATTTACAAAGAAAGCGCGGGGGGGGGAGGGAGGTTGGGGTTGGGAGAGATTTTACGAGGAAAGAGCTGGAGTTGGGACAGATTTTGACAAGAAAAAGCTATACGATTAAATGCCTCAGCAGTACATGTACATCCCGTCAATCGTCATCTGATCCATCACTTTCTACTCTGCCTTCTTGTGATGGGCGCTGCTTCCGAACACGGCGCCTGTTGCTGCTCCCGTCCCGTTTCCCTCTTCTCTCTCTCTTTTTTTCTTTTCTTTTTTTTTCTTTCTCTTCCTCTCTCTCTCTCTCTCTTTTCCCGTTTACACATCACCTTGGTGTTCTTCTCCTTCTGCCCCTCCCACTTTCTCCCCTTCTTCCTCCTCTCATGGCTCATACCTCCTACCTGTCTCCTACCGCTTCCCTGGGTGCTGCCAACCGCTGTCAATCGTCGTCTCTTGGGGCGCTGCCAATGACGCAACCTTCGCCACGTTCATGGGCTTGGGGCGGGTCATGCGGTTTTGCCCAGACCCAAGCTCAGACCTCGCCTTCCTCGTTGATGCCGACTGCACAGCTGTGGCCACTTTCGTGAGCCCGTGGGGGTCCAGCGGGGGCCCATCGGTGCGTGGCTCCCATGGGTGGTACCAGCTGCGCAAGTGTCGCCACGTTCGTGAGCTGGTCTGGGGTCCAGCGGAGTGCGGCTTTCAAGGGGTCCACACTAGACTCCCCCCTCGGGTACTCCCATGAGTGCAGCTGTCGCAACGTTTGTGAGGGTGTGTGGTGTCAAAGGGAGTGCGATCTTACCGAGATCAGAATTGGACCTTGCCTCCCTGGGTGTTGACAACTCCGTAACTATTGTCACTTTCGTGAGCTTATGCGTGGTCCAGCGGAGTACGGTCTGACCCGTATCCATGACCGACTTTGTTCTCGCCCCTGGGTGGTGCCATCTGCGTTGGTGTCGCTGCTTTCGTGAGCTTGTGTGTGTGTGTGTGTATCATTTGCCCTTCCGCCAGCGCAGTCACTCTGCCTAGCCGCCGACGCAAAATGTGTGTGTGCGTGTGTGTGGGGGTCTTGGGGGGGGGGTCAACGGGCGGGGAGGGGTGAAACGGAGAGCTCTCGCCCAGATCCAAGCTAGGTCTTACCCATCCTCCCCGGGAGGCGCCAGCAGCTCCCAAAATGCCGCCACGCTCGTGCGCCTGTTGGGGTCCAGCGGGGTGCGGTCTCAAAAATGTCCAAGCCAGATCTCGCCGCCCTGGGCGGTTCCAGCTGCGCGAGTGCCGCGTTTCTTCGTGAGTCTGTTGGGGCCCAACGGAGTTAGATTCTATAGGCGTACGCCACATCTGCCGACCCCTTTGTTCGAAAAGCGTTGTTGTTTCTCTGGGGTCGCATGCAGTGTCGGCACCATTCTCCTGCAATGTTGCGTGCAGCGTGTGGTCGTGAGGAGGAGGAAGAGGATAAGGAGGAGAAGTAGGAGGAGGAGGAGGAGGAGGAGGAGGAGGAGGTGATCGCGGGGATCTCTTGGGGGGCTTCTCGCGGGACTCTTGGAGGCCTTTTTGAAGCCTCTTGGGGGCCGTTTTGGGGCCGTTTGGGGCCCTCTTGGGGGCTTGTTGGGGCTTCTTAAGGGCGTCTTGGGGGCCTCTGGGGGCCTCTGGGGGCCTCTTGGGGCCTCTTGGGGCCTTCTTGGGCCGTCTTGGGGCGGACGGCTCGGATTGTCGGTTCAAGCTTCCCCTCTTGGGCCCCTCTTGGGGCCCTCTTGGGCCGTCTTGGGGGCCTCTTGGGCCGTCTTGGCGCCCTCTTGGGCCGACTTGGGCGCCTCTTGGGGGCCTCTTGGGCCGTCTTGGGGCGGTCTTGGGGTGCTCTTGGCCCGTCTTCAACGCCGTAAAGGCCGACAAGTCGTATATGATGAAAATGTACGTTTTCCCATTGGAATTCGCAACCATCCTGTGGTGTTGGGTCCTCGTTTTGAAGAGACGTCGCCCCGCGTTCCTCCTCCTTCCTCCTCCTCCCCTTCCTCCCCCCTCCTCCCCTTCCCACACCCATTCTGGCACACCCCTCACACGTTTCGTGGCCCCATAGGGAGCTCCACCGAAGGCCCCAGTGGCTGCGCCCGCATGCGGTTCCACCCCCCATTCTGGCACACCCCTCACACGTTTCGTGGCCCCATAGGGAGCTCCACCGAAGGCCCCAGTGGCTGCGCCCGCATGCGGTTCCACCCCTCACACGATAGGCTCCACCGTGGCTGCGCCCGCATGCGGTTCCACCCCCCATTCTGGCACACCCCTCACACGTTCGTGGCCCCATAGGGAGCTCCACCGAAGGCCCCAGTGGCTGCGCCCGCATGCGGTTCCACCCCCCATTCTGGCACACCCCTCACACGTTTCGTGGCCCCATAGGGAGCTCCACCGAAGGCCCCAGTGGCTGCGCCCGCATGCGGTTCCACCCCCCATTCTGGCACACCCCTCACACGTTTCGTGGCCCCATAGGGAGCTCCACCGAAGGCCCCAGTGGCTGCGCCCGCATGCGGTTCCACCCCCCATTCTGGCACACCCCTCACACGTTTCGTGGCCCCATAGGGAGCTCCACCGAAGGCCCCAGTGGCTGCGCCCGCATGCGGTTCCACCCCCCATTCTGGCACACCCCTCACACGTTTCGTGGCCCCATAGGGAGCTCCACCGAAGGCCCCAGTGGCTGCGCCCGCATGCGGTTCCACCCCCCATTCTGGCACACCCCTCACACGTTCGTGGCCCCATAGGGAGCTCCACCGAAGGCCCCAGCGTTTCGTGGCCCCATAGGGAGCTCCACCGAAGGCCCCAGTGGCTGCGCCCGCATGCGGTTCCACCCCCATTCTGGCACACCCCTCACACGTTTCGTGGCCCCATAGGGAGCTCCACCGAAGGCCCCAGTGGCTGCGCCCGCATGCGGTTCCACCCCCCATTCTGGCACACCCCTCACACGTTTCGTGGCCCCATAGGGAGCTCCACCGAAGGCCCCAGTGGCTGCGCCCGCATGCGGTTCCACCCCCCATTCTGGCACACCCCTCACACGTTTCGTGGCTCCATAGGGAGCTCCACCGAGGCCCCAGTGGCTGCGCTCGCATGCGGTTCCACCCCCCATTCTGGCACACCCCTCACACGTTTCGTGGCCCCATAGGGAGCTCCACCGAAGGCCCCAGTGGCTGCGCTCGCATGCGGTTCCACCCCCCCATTTCGGCACACCCCTCACTCGGTTCGTGGCCCGGGGGCGCCACCGAGGAATCTATCCACAAATGCGGTATTCACAACTACGTATGGTTGGGTCTTTCGTCAGACTAATTTGGTGATTTTCGGCTCTTCGGCCTTTCTGAGGACTGTTCTTGGAGGCCTCGTGGGCCGTCTTGGAGGCCTCTTGGCTTGTCTTGGGGCCATCTTGGGCGTCTTGGAGCGCTCGTTTGGGCCGTCTTGGGGCGGAAGGCTCGGATTGTCGGTTCAAGCTCCCCCTCTTGGGCCCCTCTTGGGGCCGCCTTGGGGCCCTCTTGGGCCGTCTTGGGGGCCCTCTTGGGCCGTCTTGGCGCCCTCTTGGGCCGACTTGGGCGCCTCTTGGGGGCCTCTTGGGCCGTCTTGGGGCGGTCTTGGGGTGCTCTTGGCCCGTCTTTGAACGCCGTAAAGGCCGACAAGTCGTACATGATGAGCATGTACGTTTTCCCATAGGAATTTGATGATTTTCGGCTCTTCGGCCCTTCTGAGGACTGTTCTTGGAGGCCTCTTGGGCCGTCTTGGAGGCCTCTTGGCTCGTCTTGGGGCCATCTTGGGCGTCTTGGAGCGCTCGTTTGGGCCGTCTTGGGGCGGAAGGCTCGGATTGTCGGTTCAAGCTCCCCCTCTTGGGCCCCTCTTGGGGCCGTCTTGGGGCCCTCTTGGGCCGTCTTGGGGGCCTCTTGGGCCGTCTTGGCGCCCTCTTGGGCCGACT